ATAAAATCTTTGAGTTACGTTTCTGAAGAACAGCTCTTTTTGTCGTAACTTTTAAAGTAATTTTTTAGGTAAGAAAAATATGTTATATATCTTATAAAGTCTTACACCATCTCCAGCATGATATATTTACAGTAAATCCCCTCTTAGCTAACCAAGTAAGGTACAATAATCATAGGTCATACAAATTTAAGAAACTTTCAAGATAAGATGGAATATTTGAGTTTGGTTTTGTTCAAACTACGTTTCTCAGTTACTAAAAAAAAAGAAAAGAAAAAAAAAGAAAAAAAAAAATGGACAGCGATATTAACCGCTTGCCTGATTATCCCGAGTTATCCCGGGTTCGTGTATATTGCAGTTAATTATTATCCCGAGAAAACTCGGGCAAAGCAGAATTAGTCAGTACGATGTGTTTTATCCCGGTTTTACTCGGTCTGGAGGAAATGAAAAGAAATATTCAGCTTTTATCGGCAGTTCGCCAAGTTTTGTTGGTTTCGCGGTTCTTTTGGCGGGACTGGTCACATGTTTTTCCTATTGTCTAGTATACGTCGGCTTGTGGATTAGTAATTTAAAAGAAAGATAGCTGCATTGAAAAATGTAAAATAATGGCGATGATACAAGATAGCGAAAGCGATGATTTTTCAGATAGTGATTATAACCTCAAGGCATTTTCCAGATGTTATTCCTGTTACTGAAAAAAAAAATCAAATCCAATGAGACAGTGTTTGTTCTCTATGCTCCCGTAAAAGAAATTCCAGAGGTAAGCCAGTAAGAAAAGAGACCAGATTACCAGTGTATAGAAAGTCAGGTATCACTTTGTGTTGTCCCTTGTTTCAAAAATTCTCATACAACGACTAATATTTAATTTTTTTATTTGCCCGAGATAACTCGGGATAGTAAACTAATATTAAAAATAAATGCTTTTACACCTGTAAAAAATTAAAAATTCAACTCAAAACCTATATATTTTGTTTTGTTTCGTTTTCCTGTATTTAATAATAAAATAAAAAAATGTGATGATTTTTTTGTAATTTTTTTCAAAAAAATGTGCAAGGGAAGCGGTTAAATCAGCAAAACAGAATTTTAAATGTACCAATTTCGGGAAATAACTGTAGAATGGAAAACCGTAAAAGACTTAGAAAAGATAGTATTTTTTCGTGACTATACGTACGCACGTATCACGCTAAATCAAAAACGATTGGCCGTAGAACGTTGAAATTTTGCGCATGGACTGCCATAACATCTAGTTGTGCATCTCCCTTTTTATTGCAATCCGCAAAACCAAACATATACATACAACACCCAACCACTTACACGGCTTAAAGTCCTTACCGGACCTTTACTTTCGCAGTCGTTGAATCGTAGTCATATACTTCCAATTACTGAAGTGTTTTAAGTGCCTAAAATACTCGTATTTTAGCAAAATCAAATGCAAAAATAAAAACTTGAATTTCGACAAATGATGAAATCTAACTTTTAATGCGGTCATCCAATTCCCCTTACATATATTTTGGCAAGTTTTACATTCGTTACGAAAAATAAAATTATGAGAAGTTTGACTCCCACAAGACAAATACTGACTGGATATTTAATTTCAAAATCTTGCAGTTTTTGATGTCATTTTCACCTTGCCATAAGGAATCGGTTAATTAAGTTAGAATAATAAGAGGAAATAACTTTAAATAAGGTGTAACAAAAAATTGTATAATTTAATAGGCAAGACAGTCGCATGGTATCCACATCAAAATTTTTTTATACAGTTTTCTTCTTACATTTTAATGTTTTATTTGTAAATATATATTTTAGATGAGCTTCGGTAAGGTTCCTCAAATATGGCAAAGCACACGAAGGCTATCTGCCTAAGGTAAAGGATACCTTCGTGGATGGATTTCTAAGAGAAATTGGCTCGTATTCAAGGTCACATATGGGAGAAACCACGAAAGCTAACCATGCAGCCAGCCCGTTCGCCTGGCTCTAAAATTCAGGTTGAACTACCAGTACTTAGTCGTCTTAACCTCTCGGCTACTGGTGGGACTTATTTTTGATAAAAAAACAAGTAATCTCAGAATATCATTTGCAAAAATTAGTAAATATGTAAACTTATGCCTTACATATAAATTTCATATAAACATGATCCTGAAATGTGGCGGCACATAGCTGCTCCTATGCTTTGCTAGGAAGCAACTCGGTAGATTGTTCATTGCTTAGACCAATGGTTCTCTAGCCTGTTTCGTCCCATGTGCCCCTTCGACTATTGCTGGAAAATCCTTCCCTCCTCTTCCTTTTCAAAACTCGAAAAATGTGTGTACATTTATTTCGTTTTAGATTTTTTTTTTTTTTTCCTTTCCTTACAGCATAGCAGGAAGCAGGTGTAGTCAAGCTAACCGTGTCTTTCCCGTAGCGCAGAATTCTCCCTTGGTTGAGGACCCTATTTTAAAGCATATGAATACTTAACGATACCATAATGCAAATCTTCGCTAAACAAAATGCGATAGTATGTATTTTATTTTTGACCTTTAATTGCTGAGGTTCTTATGACTTATCCGAAACGTTTACTTCTCAGTTATTTCGGATAAACTTTTATTATACTGGAATTTAATTTTTTTAATGCTCCAAATTTTTTATCCTAAGGAATGGAAAAAATGGAACCATTTTACACGAAAAAATTAGTTGAATCCATGCCAAAACATACGAAAAGTGTAATTATAGATAAAGAACATCCAACGAAATATTGAATGTCCCGTAATTTTCATGTTTTTATTAAATACAAAATGTTAATCTGAAGTGTTAGAATACGTATGTGAGTTAATTTTTAGAGCTTTCTGAATATTTTTTTAAACCAAAAACGTTTTTAATAACTTCTTTCAAAACAAACAGGTTTTAAATTAGATGATCAGTAGTATATGTCAAAAAAAAGTCATTTTGCTAATATTTCGTAAGACATTTGCGAATAAAACTGAAAAACAAAAGCGTCCGAAAACCAATGTGAGACGCTGTATATGAAATTTTTCACTTTTTCAAAGACGATAATGATTATTCATACAACAATTCTGTCAGGAACACATTCACCACAGTTCAATCAACCGATTCATTCAGCAGTTTAGCAGTAAGAAAGCAATCATGCATTGTTTAAATATCGCATCTGGCTTGTATTATGAATATATATAGGAAGAGAGCTTCACATGAATTGTTTTGAGGGCTTGTATGAAGAGGTACCAATTCCCCTTCGTAATTCGGGATCTTTCTACCGAGTAAGCAATAATACTATTGTTTTCAAACTTTATTTTAGTCCTTATTTATTTTTACATTGTTTTTAGTCTTTATTTTTGCCTTTTATTAACTGTTCTATTATTTACAAATTCCAATTTTTAATTTCCACAATATATTTATTATAATTTCACTTCACATTTCATAGGATATAATTTTTTTTATCCCAATTAAATTTTATCTTTGCATCAATAACGCAGGATTTTAGTTTTTAAGTCTTGTTTAAATAAATTTGGAAATTCCTTAATTTTAAAGTTTTTCTTTATAAATTTTATATGTATGTATTCGGACAGACGCACGCATTTAAATTTATATAGCTTTTCATGTTCTATGTACTATCAATTCTAACGTATATTTTATTATTATTACTAAACATTCCGTAAATTCGAGGTAATTTGCTTTCACAACCTTGATAAATCGCAGCATAGTTTCGGAATTTTAGATATTCATACTGAAATAGTTCATGAAAAATAACGCAAAAGATTATGCATTAAGTTGGCACAAAAGAGTCTAATTAATAAAAATTCTTGAAAAATAATATATCGGCATATCTAGTCAATTCTAATGTGTTTCATTTTTATCATTATATTTTTATTAAAAAACGTTCCTTAAATTCGTAGCAATATTTTATGGCATCTGAACGACAACAGCAAAGTTTCAGAATTTTAGAAATCCATACACAAATTCTTCATGAAAGTGAAAAATAACAAATAAGATTATGCATTAAGTTGGCATAAAGTCTGGTTAATAAAAATTCTTGAAAAATAATATATCTGCATGACTAGTAAATTCTAACGGGTTTTAATTTTATCATTATATTATTATTAGGTAACATTCCTGAAATTCATAGCAATATTTTATAGCATGTGACCTACAGCAGCAAAGTTGCAGAATTTTAGAAACTTATATACAAATTGTTCATGAAAATGAAAAATAACGCATAAGATTATGCATTTGGCACAAAAGAGCCTTCATGAAAATTCTTAAAAATAATATATTAGCCATAAATCTTAAATCCTAATGTTATTCATTATTATTAGAACATTTCGTAAATTCATAATAGTTTAGTTTTATAATGCTTGATGAATGGTAGAATTTTAGAGTTTAGAAATTCATATAAAATTGTTTGTGAAAAATAATGCATATGATTATGCAAGTCTGGCAAATGAAAGTTCTTGAGCAATAATATATCGGTTATGAACAGTAAAATCTAACTATTTTTTTGTAATCATTACTATTATTAGAAAACGTTCTGTAAATTCGTAGTAATTTTCCTTTATAACTTTCAAGAATAACAGAAAAATATGAGAATTCTAGAAATTCATATAAAAATTGTTCATGGAAAATAATGCAAAATATTATGCATTAAACTTGCTCGTAAACGCTCGCTTGCCAAATTAGTAGAAATTCTAGGAAAATAATATATTGGCCACGAATCATAAATTCTAACGTGTTTTTGTTTTAGTAAACGTTCCTTAAATCCACGTTAAATTTTTTATAACGTTGAGGGAAAGTGGGAAGATTTTAGAAATTCATATAAAACTCTTTCTGATAAATAAACGTTCTTGGAAAATAAAGTACTGGTCATAAATCGTAAATTCTAGCATGTTTTACTTTTGTTATTATTATCACCAATATTAGGAAACGTTCATTAAATTAACAGTAATTTTCTTATTTAGATAATAGTGCATACGATTACGCATATAAAAACGTTGTCACAAAAAAGGTTTGCTTACCTGCTTAGCAAAGTTCTTGGAAAAATAAAATAACGGCTCTGCTGACTTCTTCAAACTCGATTCCGTTCGGAAAGGGATTATAAAAACACACTTTTTTTGAAACGGTTGAGCTTTCACCTAAATCACTACAGCATCCTAACAATGGTCCAGCAAACGCGTCACACACCAGACTTTTTAACAACAGCAACGAATCAGAAAAAATTACGAACTAAATTAAAGAGAAAAAAATTGCTACGAATCTCTCTTTCGCTCACTGACTCTCACTCTCCGAAAACTCACAAAGCAGTTCGCTACGCGCCACACGAGTTCTAAATGACAACAAGTGTTTGTACACCTGCGAATCCTTCGACGAAGCGGCGTCGAGCCTCAACGTGAAGGGGTCACATGATCTGGCCGGATTCCTCTCGTTCCCCCCTCCGGTCTTCTGTGGGCGGTTCCCAAAATGCTGCCGTGCGCGTGCGTTGTGACGTAGCGGCGCGTGCGGTTTTCGAAGAGAGAGCCGCGCAGTTTTTAGAAGATGGTTAACTTTACTAGACTTATCGTAACACTGACTGTTACGTTAGGATGTTAAACTTCTGTTAATTTGACGAATATCGCATGATTTCAGAAGCATGCATAACATAATCGCAATTCGAGACTTAAATTTTATCGAGCTTCTAAAATGTTTCATATTTCCTAAAGCAATCACTTTGTTAAAATTCTGCAAATCCTTTATATAACACAGCACTTGAAATCTTTCTTTTACTCAGAAAGGAAAACTCCCTTCCCCCCCCCACTCGAATAGATAGTTTATTTGAGTATTATATATATAATGATAATGACGATATGTATCCTTTGACTGGGACTGCCCGTCACCAACGTGTTGTTCCGGTGATGACGGACTGCCCCGGTTTGATGATGTGGTTGCGGTTCGACTCGCATTCACCAAATATTGACCAAAAAATCTTTAATGTTTGAGATTTTTATAGATTCTATAGCACCAAAAAGTCGAATTTATTGGCCTTCATGAGAGGTCAGTTAAAAAAAATTGGAATAAATCGAGATTGATTTTAAGCTAATTTTTGATATTCCTTTGTGAATTACTATTAGGTAATGTTCTTTTATTTATAATTTTATGAAGTTTGACATGTCGGAAGAATTTTCGCACAAGAAATTTACAAATTTTCAGATGCTATTACTATTCTCATACATTTTATTACTTTGGAAATAAGAAATGATTTTAATTTTTAATTTATTCAAATAAAAAAAAGTAACACTAAAAAAAATCTGAAAGCCTTCAGATTTTATATTGCGCCCAAAAGGGACTTTCTTTAACGCTTTGTGTGTTACCTTTATTTATTAAATATCATGTTCTTCGCACTTAAACCATAAAATTCAGTTCAAGAGCATATTGCAAAATAATTTTTAAACGAGCATAGCTATCGAGTTTCCCATACAGAGACTCGCGCGCTGGAGATAAAAGTAAAGTCGCTGAACACTGGTAATTCGGTCCGAGGTTCGAATCCCACGAACCGGCTGGCTGCATGGGCGTTTTCATGGTTTTCCCCACGTTTAACGTGTATACGAGCCAGTTTCCCTTAGAAAGTCCTCCACGAAGACATCCCTTTCTTTAGGCAGATAGCCCTCGAGGCTATGCCATAATCACATACACACACGCTGAAGATAATTTTTTTTTTTCTGCACAACGTTGCCACGCTCGCTTTAAAATCTTGAGTTTGTTAATCAAAAATTCCTTAAGTTTACAAAATATGAATCGATAATAAAAGAAAATTCCAAATTCAAATTTGGCTTCCAGATGCCCAATTCGCATAGATTCGGCATTCGAAATTGGATGGCTCTAGTTACGGGGTTGTTTTTACCACAATGCGAGAACCATACATACATTTATGCAGATTCTTCATTATTTAATTTCTTTAAATATAATACAGGGCGATAATATTTGGTGGATACAATTTGAAAAGTGAAAACACGCTTGTTGTACTCGAATTCTATTTAAGTTCCGTAGTAGGTCTTTTAGGAAAAAATCACATTGATGAATACATTTTATGATAATTTGCATAGAAACGCTAGCTAATTAATCCATTACATCAGAATATTTTTTCTAAACTACAAAGGCAGTTCGTAAATTTTTTAGGCGATGTTCATTGCATTTACAGAAATATTTTAGTTAAAAATTGCGTGTTTTAATTATTCTGTTTAATAGCAATTATTCTTAACTATCTTTCTACACCGTAATTTACAAGAAAATAAAGTCTTTGGTAGTATTGAAAGAACCATTTTCTCCCATTCCTCTTGAACAAGAGTCCAAAAAGTCCAAAGAGTGTTATAAGTCGATTTCTGGACAACCCGCTTTAAAAAGTCCAAAAGATTAAAAATCCATGCATGATAAATACATCAAGACATTTAGTAGGGTATGAGTGAAGGGTATGGCACTGATACCCGTTTTTTGTTACATTTTTTCCAGGAAATTAACAGTGGATTTTGACGTATGGTTGCTTGCTTTGTCTTGATGCACTTATACCAAGGCTTAATTTCTAAAATTAGAAGTGCGGGACGGTAAACTGGCGCGTATACACGTTACACATGGGGAAACCACGAAAACGCCCATGCATCCAACCCATTCGCGTGGTTAGAACTTCGGGCCGAACTACCAGCGTTTAACGACCGCTCGGTCGTTGGTTGATCTCGAAGAGGAGGAAAAAAATCTTAAAACGTGGTTCAAAGAATCTACAAAATGTTTTTCAAAGGGGTTTATGATTGTTGCTGGTTTTTCCTATAACGGCAAATTAAAAATAAAGTGAATGGAAAAAAAATATGTTAAGATCAATTCCACATATTTCATACCCAGTTTTCAGGTACGAAATACTTTCTTTTTACGCACAGTGCAACCAGTTAGTAGAACTCAGAGCTTAAATGGCCGGTACTTTTTAGTTTATCGGATAAATCATAGATCTAGACGAAGCGCACCGGAAATAAATAAGAACGCTCCTGCAATTCTTCTATATAACTGAACAATACATTCAGTAGAGATCTGATCTCGAAAATTTTATTTCGAGCAATAAAATTAGATTAAAAATCGCTTATTAAACTTTAGTTTATCTCTGTACATTTTATTTAATTTTAGTTACATAATTACTTTAATCTTTAATTATTTAGTTATTTCACTGACTAATTATAATTTATTTAATAACTATTGTTCAATTAATAATAAAGATAAGAAATTGATTATAAATATTAATTTAATAATTGTTATAAATTGTGGTAATAATTAAGTATTTAATTTTTAAATTATTAGCGATTTTAATGGCCATTTTATTTATTTATTTACTCTTGTTCCTCTTTCCTGATGGTCTTGCATGTATTTATTTTCCTTCTCTTCCCGGCTGGATGAACTTAGATTTTTATTCTTATGTGTTGGTAAATTCCGCATTTTTTGCTTTAAAAGTGATTGAATTATGTGGTTTCTATGTTCCGGTTAGATTTTTTATGCTTTTAGTTAATCTGCTTGCAATAGCTGTAGACTTATCAACAATTTAAAAGTTTAAGGGGCAAGTTAAGCGTAACGAATGTACATTTGAAACTCAGGTAGATAGATGAATTCAGTTTCTGCATCTTCAATGTCTTTTTAATAAAAGTCACCAAAAGTAAACTTTTAGTTTTGTGCACCGAAAAGTCTGCCTTCTTGCCCGCTGGACGAATTGCTTTTTTGGGGGGGGGGTAGAAACTCTAATTTTAATTGTATTTTTTTTAGCTGTTTTAACTGTATTTGGTTTTTTAAGTTTAAATAAAATGCAAAAAAAAAAAAAAAAAAAAAAAAACGTGAGTAACTTAATAGGCTATACAAGGAAGTCATGTGGCGTCCACATCAGATTTTTACAATTCATCTCCGCTCCCAGATAAGTGAAACTGTAGACTTCTTCAAATCTATATTACTAACTAATGATTATTACTATTGACTAATAGTAATAATCATTAGTTAACTATTGACTAATAGTTAAGTCAATAACTATTGACTAATAGTTAAGTCAGATTTTAAACAAAGCATTTATTTAGTTTTATTTTCATTAAGCAGAAAAGTTACGTCTTTAGATTATCAAGAATTTTTTATTTTATCAAGACAGAATTTCTTTCGAAAATGCCAACACCTAAAATTTCTCTTTGAAGTGACGGAGAATTAGGGCGGGTAGAGCTTCATATAACGTAGGAAATTAAATCTTCTTTCACTGCGGAAGACGGATTTCAGTCTTTTGTGCGAATCGTTGGTTAATTATGATTGATAGTTAGAATAGTAAGTTGAAAGCATTCTGATTGCAGTGTATGCTTCCAGTCATATGCTTCTGATGCCCGGCAGGCACAGAAAACAGAGCAAATTGCATTACTCCTGTAATTTTCTTTCTTTTAGCCTAATTATTTCACTCGTTTCTTATCTGATTCTTCAATTGGCAGTGAATAAGGAAAACTATTTTAGAAACAACTGCTTTCTGTTATACAGATGTGTCCAAAAAAGGCTCCAGATTTCAAACGCCAACAAAATTATTTTATTTTTAGAAAATGGGTAATATTTTTGTATACTTACAAAAGGCAAATGATCCGATTTAAGAATTGTGAAGTTAATTTAAATTGCCAAGACTGGCGTTTTATCATTGTCAGTTCATTTCACACTCTTCGTTGCAGCTGTCACCTTGGAGCGCTAAACAAAGACTGATTTTATAGATTACGGAAAAGCACACTAGGGCTATTTGCCTATGGGAAGGGATGCCTTCATGGAGGATTTTCTAAGGAAAACTGGCTCGTATACACTATATACATTTGGAAACCACTAAAAACCCATGCAGCCAGCCCATTCGCCCGGAATCGAACACAGGTCGGCGGCCCACCAACGGAACAAAGGTCCGAGGTTCGAATACCCCAATGGGCTTGTTGCATGGGCATTTTCGTGGTTTTTTCCTTGTGTAACACGTATACGAGTCAGTTTTCCTTAGAACGTCCTCGACGAAAGCATCCCTCCCCTTAGGTAGGTAGCCTTCGAGTGCTTTGCCATATTAAAATATACTAAATACCGAAAACAGGTCGGAACTACCAGTGTTCAGCGATTCTAACGCTCGGCCGCTGATGTGCGCGCTACACAAAGGAACACTGAGTTTTGATTGTGAAAACTCATTACGAGAATGCTGAGTGTTACGAACAAAATATTTCATCATGCTTTTAGTCCAGCTTGTTTTTGGAAAACATCGCAGTGGTGCATGGCAATGTTATTGTAAGTCCCAAAGAATCCGAACTTAGAGTAAATATAAGCGAACTTAAAGAGGAAATTGAACATGTC